TCCGTATCACCCTTTTAGGATTAAAACACTACCTCACCATAGGTTTCACTACCTTAAGATTGGATAGTAACCCTAAACATTGTATGAAGGACTGGCTGTGGCTAGCAACCTGAACTTAAACTTGGACTGGACCCCCCATGATATGGCTTATCTCCTTCAAACAGAAAATTAGAATTTACTGTGTAAAAGCCGTAAAATCTCAGACCATGGTGCTAAAGGGAGGGCTGCAAAAGCCCAACATTGACGACATGATGGTGACATGGATTTTTTTTCCCAAAGGATCGTGTTTTTGTTATATTGTATGACTGCAAATATTTTAATGCAAAAGCAATGTATTTAAAACAATTATAAGATATTTTCCCCATGTTCAAATAATTTTCCCCATGTTCAAATAAATAAAACTTGAAAATTGCTGAAACCATCTAGTATGAACTGATATGATGTAGCAGACTGAACGTCATCGCAGCGGAAATTTCATCCGATTATACTTCAGCTGGGTCTTCTAGCTAGGCATAATCAAAAGAGCCACTGTCCCATAGAATGACTTTAACCCTGCAGCCCTACAGCTATTCACACTCACTGTAAATAGCAGTAAATTTTTAGATAAATCAGTTTACAGGTTCAATGTCACATTTTCCTAAGTTATCCTTCTAATACATATCTTATAAAGAGATGCGGGTGCATTTTATGTTGTTGAATGTTACATTCCTAGCTTGGTAATGTACTTTTCTAAACTGTTCGATGCAGTGCAATAAACAAGAAAGAATCGCAGGGAATCCTAAAATCACCAGCCTTTTATCCTACGCACTTTAACTGTAATTTAATATTCAACCGTTTATAATAGTGTATGATCCAATATTACTATTTATATCCGTTTTCTTTATCATCTGATGTATAGAGAACGGTAGAAATGCTGCTACGGAAAAGCGGTCAGCCTTGGTGTGTGTGTGTGTGTGTGTGTGTGTGGTGTGTGTGTGTGTGTGTGTGTGTGTGTGTGTGTGTGTGTGTGTGTGTGTGTGTGTGTGTGTGTGTGTGTGTGCGCGTGCGTGCGTGTGTGTTGGGGTGGGGGGAGGGGGGAGGGAGGGAGTGATAGAGATTGGCTGAATGAGAGAGCGAGAGAGAGAGAGGGAGAGAGAAGAGAGAGAGAGAGAGAGAAGAGAGAGAGAAGAGGAGAGGAGAGGGAGGGAGAGAGAGAGGAGAGGGAGAGGGAGAGGGAGAGGGAGAGGGAGAGGGAGAGGGAGAGAGAGAGAGAGAGAGGAGAGGGAGAGAGGGAGAGGGAGAGGGAAGAGAGGGAGAGGGAGAGGGGAGAGAGAGGAGAGGGAGAGGGGAGAGGGAGAGGGGAGAGGGAGAGGGAGAGAGAGAGAGGAGGGAGAGGGGAGAGGGAGAGGGAGAGAGAGAGAGAGAGAGAGAGGGGAAGGGAGAGAGAGGGAGAGGGAGAGGGAGAGGAGAGGGAGGGAGAGAGAGAGAGAGAGAGAGAGAGAGAGGGAGAGAGAGGACAGAGAGGAGAGAGAGAAAGAGAGGAGAGAAGAGAGAGAGAGAGAGAGAGACGAGAGAAGAGAGAGAGAGGAGAGAGAGAGGAGAGACAGAGGGAGAAGAAGGAAGAGAGGAGAGAGAGAGAGAGAGAAGAGGAGAGAGAGAGAGAGAGAGAGAGAGAGAGAGAGAGAGAGTGAGAGGAGATCTGAGAGAGAGAGGGAGAGAGAGAGAGAGAGAAGAAGAGAGAGAGAGAGAGAGAGAGAGAGAGGAGAGAGAGAGAGAGAGAGAGAGAGAGAGAGAGAGAGAGAGAGAGAGAGAGAGAGAGAAAGTGAGTCCTTCCCCTTTCTCTTTACTTTTTATCCTCTCTTCCTCTTTTCCCTGTCTACCTTTCTCTCATTTTTCTCTTTTCTCTCCTCACCTCCCCATCACACACACACACCACACACACACACACACACACACACACACACACACACACACACAACACACACCACACACACCACACACACAACCACACACACACACATAGACACACACACACATAGACACACACACACATGACACACACACACATAGAACACACACACACTCATCTCACTCACTCACTCTCTCCTCTCTCTGTCTGCAGTGAGAGGGAGTTCCTTCAAATATATAAAGAAAACACATGTGATTCTAAATCAATGCCACAGTCTAAACAAATGTGGATGAGGATAATAATGGCAATAAAATACTAATTAAAGAAAATGAAAATCGTAATAATAGTAATAATAATAAAATGATAATTATATTGAAGTAAAGTAATAATAATGACAATGACACTAATGATGATGATAATAATAATAATGATTTAATAATAACAACAAAATAATAATAATAATAATAACATAAACAATAATGATAATAACATCAACAAACAGTAGAGCCACTGTCCCATAGAATGACTTTAAACCTGCAGACCTACAGATATTCACACTCACTGTAAATAGCATAAATTTTTTAGATAAATCAGTTTACAGGTTCAATGTCGCATTTCCCTAAGTTTATCCTTCTAAATCAATCTTAAGAGATGCGGGTTGCATTTATTGTTGTTGAATGTTACATTTCTTAGCTTGGTAATGTACTTTGTAAACTGTTCGATGCAGTGCAATAAACAAGAAAGAATCGCAGGGAATCCTAAAATCACCAGCCTTTTAACCTACGCACTGTAACTGTAATTTTAATATTTCACTGTTTATGATAGTGTATGATCCAATATTACTATTTATATCCGTTTCTTTATCATCTGATGTATAGAGAAAGGTAGAAATGCTGCTACGGAAAAGCGGTTAGCCTGGTGTGTGTGTGTGTGTGGTGTGTGGTGTGTGTGTGTGTGTGTGTGTGTGTGTGTGTGGTGTGTGTTGTGTGTGTGTGTGGTGTTTGTGTGGTGTGTGTGTGTGTGTGTGGTGTGTGATGGGGGGGTGGGGGAGGGAGGGAGAGATAGAGAGAGGCTGAATGAGAGAGAGAGAGAGAGGAGAGAGAGAGAGAGCGAGGGCTGAATGAGAGAGAGAGAGAGAGACGAGAGAGGAGAGACGAGAGAAGAGAGAGAGAGCGCAGAGAGAGAGAGAGAGAGAGCAGAGGGAGAGAGAGAGAGGGGGGGTGAGAGAGAGAGAGGGGGGGGAGGGAGAGAGAAGAGAGAGAGAGAGGGAGGGGAGAAGGGAGGGAGGGGAGGGAGGGAGGGAGGGGGGAGGGAGGGAGGGGAGGGAGGGAGGGAGGGGGGGAGAGAGAGAAGAGAGAGAAAGAGAGAGAGAGAGAGAGGAGAGAGAGCAGCGAGAGGAGAGAGAGAGAGAGAGAGAAAGAAGAGAGAGAAGAGAAAAGAAAAAGAAAGGAAAAAGAGAGAGAGAGAGAGGGAGTGAGAGGCGAGAGGGAGAGGGGGAGAGAGAGAGGGAGGGGGAGAGGGGGTAAGGGGGGGAGAGGGGGTGGAAGAGGACGAGAGGGACAGAGAAGAGAGAGAGAGGAGAGCAGGAGAAGAGCGAGAGAGAGAGAGAGAGATGAAGAGAGAGAGAGAGAGAGAGAGAGTGAGAGTGAGAGTGAGTGAGTCCTTCCCTCTTCTCTCTCATACCTTTATCTCTTCTTCCCTTCTTTCTCCTGTTACCTTCTCTCTATTTTCATTTTTCTTTTTCTCTCTCCCATCACACACACACACACACACACACGCACACACAATACACACACACACACAACACACACACAGATACACACACACACACATAGACACACACACACACACATAGACACACAGACACACACCAACCTAGACATCACACACACCACAACACAGAATCATAAGACTCACACAACATACACACAAACACATGACACTCACACACCACATACAACAAAAGACCACACACACACACCACAACGACCGACACACAACAAACATACAGACACACAACACAGCACACATGATAACAAAACACGACGGACAGTCAGGGTGATTATCGCATACACAAGCATACACAGCAAACCGTCACATACACACGAAACTAAACTGAATAGTGTATAAAATCACAGACATACATGAACAAGTTGTTACAGTAGAGATGGATGCATGGTTAATATTTGCAACACTTGGCTGAGAACATGGAGATGTCAACTTACCTATAACACAACACAACACACACACACACTCACACACACACACATCACACACAGCACACACACCACACATATAACACACACACCAACACACAGCACACTCACACTCCTCTCTGCTCTTCTCTCTCTTCTCTCTCTCTCTCTCTCCTCTTCTCTCTCTCTCTCTCACTCTCCTCTCTGTCTGCAGTGAGAGGGAATTCCTTCAAAATTATAAAGAAAACATGTGATTCTAAATCATGCCAAGTCTGAACAAATGTGATGAGGATAATAATGACAATAAATACTATACCAACAACAATGATAATGAAAATGAAAATCATAATTATCATAATCGTAATAATGTAATAATAATAAAATGATAATTATATTAAAAAGTAATATTAATGACAATGACAACAACTAATGATGATGATGATAATAACAATGATTTAATAATAACATCAAAATAATAACAATAATAATAACATAAACAATAATGATAATACATCAACAACACGACTTATTAATCAATATATGATACTACTTATACCACTACTACTATAGCTGCTACTACTACTAATAATAACGATAATACTACCTCTAATAATTAATAAGTGGACTACCACTACTACAAATAATAGTTACAGTAAAATCAATAAAATTAACAATAATAATGATGATGATTGTGATGGTGAAAATGATGATAACACGACCAACAATAATGCTGATGATAACAATAACAAAAATAATAATAACACCTCTTTTACTAAAAATGGTTACACCTGTTACAATGACAATAATTGCAAGATTAACTTTAATCACCTCTTTGAAAAAAAAAAAGACCCCCAAAAAAGCACTAAAAACTACTCACGATTCACAAGAAAAACCATCAGGCAAAGAAAATGTCGTGATCATTTATCTATAATTTTATTACCAGAGAATATGATATCAAAATGAGAACCACCAACTTTCAACCACTCTCACTCTCTCTTGAGATCCTGCACCTAAGTTGCATTTCTGAATCCGACTCTGACTCAGAATTGATTCAAAATGATCAAAAATAAACATTTAAATATGTCTTATACATCTACAAATTATCAAAAAGTTATAGAATATGTCATAGAGCAAAGAGAAAACAGAACACGGTATGCAATGATATAAATTTAAATTACTATATACCACTTCATATCCAGAGTTTAATAATGATAAATATTTGATTTTCTGTACAGTACATGGGAAAGAAGACACGGAAACTTAATAACCATGTATAATAATAACAAAATTATAAAAAGACAGTAAATCTTTTTAATCATCCTTCATAGGGAAATTTGTTAGAGAATGAAATCAAAATACTTAAAAATTTCTTCCATTCTGGTATCTCTCATATGAAAGCATAATCCTGCTTACAGACCTAAGTTCAAAAACCTGTGACTTTAATCATATCACCCTTTTATACAGCACCAACAAATCAAGTCTTACTGGACCAGGCTCATGCCTTACATTTATCTTTTCTTAACAAACCAATAACGTCTCTATACATTGTTCCAGTTAGAGTATATCTTCACTTACATACACGTATACACATATAGTACGCACCACTCCACATTTGTATATTGATAAACCGTGCATCTGTGACACTATAGACTTATAAATGTTTTTAGTTATACATTTGTTTTCTGTAGAACATTTTTTTTTCATTTATACATATAAAAAGGAACATTTCTCTTTTCTTCAGATACAAAAGGTCGAAAAAAAGAAACAAAAACAAATATGCTATACTTTTTAATAACAACAACAAAAGTTAAATAAGATCAAACCTTTAAAACGGAGACAATGTTTTTTGTGGTTCTTATTCACCTCCAATACCAGATAGGTATACCAAGGAACAAATAGGAACAAATATGAGGTAGAAAACTGGCTAAGCACAGAAAACAGAAATCATAGTTGTTGTCAATACTTGTTTTGAAGTGAACCATAGAGTACTGAAGTATATATTTTCATACGTAAAGAAAAGCCAGCTTCAACAAAAAACAAGGATCTCAATTAGTGAGATTCAACACCTTCTATACTTTGAACGAGTACAGGAGGCTGAGTACAAGGGCTGTCTCTCACTCCCTCACTCTCAGTCGGGAAATAAATCTTCCTCTTTTGGTCTCATCGTCACTTTACAGCCGCAAGAACATAACACACAAAAATTAGAACTCCCCTTTTGTACAAAAATATAGAATATTAACAAACGCAAAAGTAA